CTCTCTCCTCACCCCTGGCTAGGAAAGTGCGCAGTGTGAGTCAAAATTAAGAGTAGGAGCATATTACTGCCTGCCATTTGTCTTTTAAGGACATTTAGCTATTGAGCTGTTGTAGAAAGTAAATCCACTGACCAAGTGTCTTATCCAGTAGCTCCCAGTCCATGATTGGCAGGCAATTTGTTTGCTGAGACACATCCTAGTAGCAATTACGACGAAATAAAATTCCAGCTTTAAAGCTAATGTTGTTTGCAACATACTACTGGGTCAGTACCAAGAAGATACCTAAACTTTTGAGTTATAGAACTCCTGTTCCAATATGGCAAACCAACTTCAGAGGAATTATCTGCTTCTCTAGAACATCAGCTAACAACCTTCCTGACCCTGGACAGCCCATACAGCTGGAAAGTAAAAGGCAAAGGTAGAGTGAACTCTGAGAATACTTCAAAAGTGGGAAGTCACCGACAATTCCAAGTACTTGACACGCAGGATGGAAAATGTGGTTTTTGATATGATTATATATATATCAAAAATATATGATTCTGTTTGTTTTATTGCTGTACTGAACCAATGTATACATAGCAGTGATAATAAACCTTGATCTTTCAGCAGTAGAAGAGTTATGAAGGTGAAAGAACTTCTTATGCTAGAAAAAAACACTGTTTTGCAGGGTCTCTGCCTTTGTGCAATGGAGCACTATGATCCTACCTTAATGACGTCTTCATCAGATGATCTGCACTCCACAGATTCCAGAAGATCAGTCACAGTCCCATCATCTTCCACGGAGATGACTTTGACAGGGACAGCCACTGTTTTCCCAGTGAGGATAGCTGTATTCAGGATCTCTGCTTCCTAAGAGACCAAAAAAGCCCATTTAGTTGATATATATTGCTATTGTTTCATTAGTACCACCTATATTCAGCTTTAATTTCTAAGATTATTTCTAAGATTGTTCTAAATCTGTATTCCAAGATTTACTATAATTTCTAAGATTATTAATTATTTTTTTTATTCCAAGAACTGTTTCAAGTGTAGCAGGCAGAAAGATAAATTTCTTCCCTTTAATTCTGGAATCAAACTCCCGGTTTTGATTTGGGGCTGTTAAGACATTTGTCACACTTTAATTGCCATTTCATGATTTCATGAATGCTCATCAAGTGTCAGAGCAATCTAACACCTGAGGAATGACCCTACACCACATAAAGAAGATGTATCTTCCATCTAGAAATAGTGAAAACTCCATCCTGAGGAGCTCACTAGTGATCATGCTGATCACATACAAAAAATGTCGTAAGTCTTGCTGTTTTACCCACAAAACCTCCTTCCAAGAGGTTTTCTACAAATACTGAAATTATGTAACACTACTGGACAAACAGTGACAACATTCAGATCAAAGAAATACTGTACAATTGTTAGGGAACAAGTGTGGATTGAGGACAGTCAGAAATCCATTTTTGCCCAAATCTCCTGGGTGATCTTCTACAAGTGGGGGATGTCTTCTGCAATACACACACCTTCTGACTTCCAGCCTGTAGACAATCTGCACAGGGACAACAGCAGCTACAAAAGCCACCCAGTAGCACGTTAAACCGCCTGGCATGCAGGCTGTGCACTAGCACGGCTCTGACCGCACATTCGTTCCGTTGGACACTCAGGCTGGCCATGTGCATGAAAGTAACTCTAGTCTTAGTGGCAGGCTTTAGGCTGCTCTTTGGGATGCCTTGTTGGCAGACTCAACCGTTCCCAGCCTGTAAAATGGGCGAGTGGCACTGTCTCTCATGACAGATAAGATCTGGTTTCTGCTGCTCTGTCTCCTAGGGAATTAGTTTGAGTGTCACCATTCTGGTCCTGCGTATGCGACAATACGACTGTATGTACAAATGACTATATGTACCACAGGACCGTGGAGAATCAGACCCTTGTCAGGTTTTCTAGAACTTATTCTGGCTCATGTAGGGTAATAGTGGGTAAGCACTTGTTCACAACTGTTTCTTTACCTTTTAATGAGCCTCGTGCAAAACCATCCTCTCCCAAAAAGGAAGGATGCTGAGAAGAGCCTGGGTTCTTTAAACAAAATGAGCTCCACAGTGATCTGTGTCACTGGTATGTCATTGTTGTGATAATTACTGCAAAAATGCTTTCCTTCTGCTTGATTTATCACTTCTAATTTAAAGGCGTTGAGTTCTGATTATATGAAGAGCATGAGAGCAAACAGTTACCTGGGTGTCACAACAGTCTTGCACAGCAGATATCACGTACTTGTGACAAGATACACAGAGAGCACAAACTGGTGCCCAAATTGTTCTGCTCCTAATTGCAAGATACTGCTCACTCCTGGAAAGGTCTCTGAGCTTTTCAGAACTGTGCCTGAGAATCACAGATTATCCTGTAGAACAAGAGGCTCTTGATTTCTACTGGCTCTTGTGAAATAAAGGCTTCCAAAGCCCCCCAGGTGCTACCTTCTCATTATCTAAATAGCTCATGCTATGAGCTCTGAGACTGACCTGATTTTACCTGTGGAAGACAAGAATGTGGGAGATTGAAACCAAGTTACCAGAAGATGATGACTTCCCCTACCGACTCTTGGGCTAAAGAGAAGAAGCTGACATTTCTCTCATCTGAAGGATACAGATCAAAACGACCTTTTCCTGCTACTTAAAGAAAGAGACACTTCATTTGGACTCAAAGCAATATTTAAAGAAAGAAAGAGAAAAACCTCCTGGTTTTTTGATAGCTGCTTTGCTAAAGTTTCCCCATCCTCACCATGATCTTCAGGGGAGGGTGAAATAGGATTTCACAAAAAGAGAACTTAAGAAGAAAATCCTCTCCCTCCCGCAGCACAGAAGCCCTTCGGATATTTTGAAACTGTAATTCATACAAAGGTGAGAATATCTGCCTGTACTGTAAGGCCCTTCTGTCTTGAGTGCACAATTGTTCTCAGTTGAGAACATATTATCCAGGCAACTGGGATCTCAGAAAGATTTGCAATTAAGTTTCCAGGTTCTTTTATTTTTTTTTCCGATCTGGGCTTTGCAGCAAAGTTACCACATGCAGGTTGTTTAGATGCTTTTCCTGCTCTCCTGTAGGCCCCACAGAGCTGTGAATGGGGGCAGCTTGACAGAACAAGTGCTATTAAGCAACCACAATAATTGCAGAATCCAGGAATTAGGTCCTGATTTTGCAAACACGTGGGCATGAATGTCATTTCACCGGGACTGTTTGAGGCCATACCACACGCCTAGCTACTTGCACCT